CTATTTCACCCAGTGAAGAGTGTAGCGCTATAATTAAGAAAAAGTTTCCTAAAAAACAAAGATTCTGGAAGTTTTACTATTCCTTGTGTGATTACTGAAGGATTTTTTGGAAAAGCTTTACGTGATTTAGGAGTCAGTATTAATCTTAGGCCTTTATTAATTTTCAGAAGGTTGGGTTTAGGAGATATTTCACCTACAAATGTAACTCTTCAGTTAGCCAATCATTCGATTACCTATACTAAAGGAGTTATAGAAGACGATTTGATGAAAGTTGATAAATTTATTTTTCTTGTGGACTTTTTTGTGTTAAATATGGAGGAAGATAAGGAAATTCCTATCATTTTAGGAAGACCATTCGTTCCCACTAGAAGAGCTTTGCTAGATGTGCAGAAAGGAGAACTAACTATGAGAGTTAGTGATCAAGAGGTTACATTTAATATGCAAAAACTAATGAGATAACCTACAAAAGAGAAAGAGATTAAATGCTTCAGAATGGATATTAACGAATCTTTAAGCCATGAATATTTCAAGAAGACATTTAAAAAATAATTTGTAAAGGAATATTTGGAACATTAAGATGAGGATAAAATTCAAGATGAATCTATTGAAGTGAGTAAACAAGATTTAGATCATGTTGAGGAAAAATTTGAAATTTTAAACCTTACAGAAAGTAAGCGGAATTTGATTTCATTTATTGAGAAACCACATGAACTATAACTAAAAGCACTTCCTACACATTTGAAGTGTGCTTTTTTAGGAGATTTATATCTACATTATTGTTATAGTATCCTCAGAATTAAATTATATGCAACTACAATCGTTGTTGGAAACTTTGAGAAGATTCAAGAAATCATTTGGATGGACATTAGCTGATATTAAAAGAATCAGTCCTTCAATTTGTATGCATAGAATTTTATTGGAAGATCAAGAGTTGATCCTCAAAGGAGATTGAATCCTGTGATTAAAATTTGTTAAGAAAGAGATCTTAAAATGGTTAGATGCTGGAATAATATATCATATTTTAGACTGTAGTTGGGTAAGTCTAATTCACTGTGTTCCAAAGAAAGGAGGTGTGACTATAGTGACAAATGAGAATAATGAATTAATACTAACAAGATAAGTCACTGGTTGGTGTATCTACATATATTATAGAAAATTAAATTATGCCACCATGAAGGATCATTTTCCCTTACCCTTTTTGAACTATATGTTGGATAGGCTGGTAGGGCACATATATTTTTATTTTCTAAATGGATATACTGGTTATCATCAAACACCTATTGCTCTAAAGGATCAAGCAAAAATAACATTTACTAATCTTTATGGAACTTTTGCTTTTCGATGAATGCCCTTTCTATTATGTAATGCACCTACAACATTTGAAAGATGTATGATATCAATTTTTAGTGATTTAATTGTAAAAGGGATAGAAGTCTTTGTGGACGATTTTATTGTATTTGGAACTTCATTTAAAATATGTCTAAATCATTTAGAGATAGCTCTAGAACGATGTGAAAAGACGAATCTCGAATTAAATTAGGAAAAATATCAATTTATGGTTGTAGGAGAAATTGTGCTTGTGCAAAAAATTTTAGAAAATGACATGGGAGTAGATCCAGCCAAAATTCAGATTATATCAAACCTACCTCCATCTACTATTGTAAGAGGAGTTAAGAGCATCTTAGGACATGCTGGATTTTATAGGCGATATATTAAAAATTTTTCAAAAAGTACAAAGCCTTTATGCCAACTTCTGAAAAATAATAAAAAATTTGATTTTAACCATGATTGCCATAAAGCATTTAAAACCTTACAGAAAGAAATTGATCACTGCTCCTATAATTATTTCACCTAATTGAGAGAAACCTTTTGAGTTAATGGTTGATGCTAGTGATTATGCAATTAAACTTGTTTTAGGGCAAAGATATGACAAGATTTTTAAAGTCATATATTTTACTAGTAACACTCTTAATGATACTGAAATTAACTTCACCACTGCTCAAAGATAGTTATTAACCATTGTTTATCCTTTTGGTAAGGTTAGGTCATGTCAAATTGGAGCTAAATGTGTTGTGTATACTGAACACTCGGCTATTAAATATTTAATGCAAAAGAAGGATGTGAAACCAAAATTAATTAGATAGGTATATCTGATGCAAGAGTTTGCTTTTGTAGTAGTCAATAGGAAAGGGATTGATAATCTAATCGCTGATCATTTATCATTGCTAGAACAACAAGAAATTCTTGATTTGGAAAAAGAAATTAATGAAGCTTTTCTTGATGAAAAACTTTATGTTGTAAAAGGATGGGAAATACCATTGTAAGCTGATATTGTAAATTATATTGTTAGTGGTATTTTACCATATGGACTAACAAAATAACTTGAAAAGAAATTTATTCATGACGAAAAATCTTATTTTAGAGATGACCCTTATTTCATAAACAACGTAAGGATTTAGTAATACGACGATGTGTGCCTTACAAATAAATTCAAGAAATTATCCAAAAATGTCATGATTCTGAATTTGGAGGTCATTGTGGGAATGATAGAACTATTCAAAAAATTTTGCATATGGATTGATGAAATGAAATACCTCTAAATTTTAATTTGGAAACTAAAATTTTTTATTTGATTTTATGGGACCTGTCAGCGTTATTTCGGGGATGGTTTGGTTGTGGGGGTGGCCGTAAGAAACTGTCGGTCACCGGAAGCGAAA